TCAAGAAGTGTAATTCTTGTCAATGTAGTACTGAGCAATCAATGTTTATCAACAAAAAAAAACTTAAACTTAAATAGTTTTTGTTTCTTCATCTTTTATTACCACTCGAAGACTACTTACAACATTATGAATAGGTTTTTTAACTTATAAAATTCAGGAAATCTTGATATAAAAATAAGTAGGAGTTCAATTACTCTCCTTAATTTCTTGTAACGAACATTTTACTCCTTCTATTATACTTGCTATTATTTTCCTTGAATTGGTCATTCGTGAATAACCATTTACATCTTCTTGAACTAAATGTACAATACCTTTATCTTCATTGTTTCTGTAAGCTTGTTGAAATTGGTGTAGTGAAATATCTTCTTTAGCTATTTTTCCAATCATTTTAACAGTTGTCTGTTACATTAATATCTTCTCACAATACTATTACATTACTAATTGTTACCCATGGTTAAACTTTTAGTTTACAGCCGCTTAAAAAGTTGTAGAGAACAGATTGCAGCGATGGGTGAAGCTAGAAATACCTCTATGTTTAGGGGCATATATTTATGTGTACTTAATCTCTTAGTGCATTTCTTTCTCTCTGTTAGCTATACAGACGACACTGCCAGACAACATGATTGATGCTCTCCACAATGAGATTGCATTTACAAATCACGTCACTACTTAACCCAACTCTCGCTGTTGATTCTGCCAGCGCAAAATGACTAGATTTGCAACTATTCACTGTAACAACTGACTGACGATCGAGTCCCAAGAAGGTGAACCAGAGTTTAGAGTGTTCGCTGAAGTATTTACGACCTTTTCCGATGCCTGTCAGCGATCCATTGTTATTATCCTTAATTTTCTTTTTGAAGAGTTAAAGGTAATTAATTTAGGGAATAGTACAAGAGGAAGGGGGTTAGGTGGTGGCCTCTTTTGCGAGTAGGTCAACTGACTCGTTGCCTGTGATTCCTGTGTGAAAAGAAATCCAGTAGAATTCCACGGTCTAAAATATAAGGGTTAGTTCTGACAGGGAAGGTGGTATTTTGGAAACTCTGAAGAGCGATAAGAAAATTAGAAAAGACTATGAACTTGAGATCACAGTGCTGAAAAGCCAGCTCCATAGCGTTTTAAGAGCATAGCGTTCGGGGAGACAGATTTGGAACATTGAAAGTTGAGGGTAGGGCAGATACACGTGGCCCCTGTTAACTGGTTACCCTTGACTTTACTGACGTCGGTGAATATTGCCACTGCGCTTCTTTCAGCGACTAAGGAGTCGATAGCGTGGTTGGGAAAGGCTATTTTTTTAATCCTTCGGCCGAACTCCGTGACTACTCACACCACACAGGTAATAGTAGAATACTCTTGCCCATAGGTGAGATATAACGGGCAGCTGCTCAAGTTGTCTAGCAAGCTCAGTGTTTCCTCAATGACCTTGCGCAGAACTTTCTTCTTTTTCTTGGTATTCTTGGTACATTCGTTCGCATAAACAGTAATTTCTTTCTAAAGAGGACTACTACTAAGAGATGAGATTTTGCTTAAATAAAAGTAACAGAGTAGTGTAGCTGTATTACGGAACGTTATTAACTTTGATTCCGCAAGCAGAATGTTCGTGGGAGTGCTTTTTCTGAGTCCAAGGGCTAATCCGATTGCTGTAACATTTCGAGTTTTTCTGTTTCTTTTTTATGCGAAGGGAAATAGATCCAGCTACAATAATTAAAAATAGATCGCACGTAGCTCTTGTATAATGTGAAAAAAGTGTCAGAGTGGGATCCCCACTATGTAACTGATTCTACTGGTAACTGACGAACACATTTTAAGCATCGTGGATTTTTTGATTATCCTATGATCAATAGTGGCAGTTTATGAGTTCCACTCGCATTTGTACAAGTCATCACAGTAAAACGTGATTTAACTTCTTTTCTTCCAGCGGGTTTTTTTCTAATTTTCCAACCAGACTGCGATTGGGCAACATCTTCCAGAATAAACCTGTTTCATCGCAATTGTAAATATGATCTAAAAAATGTCCTGATACTTTGATCAAATTTAAAAATTTCAATTTAAAATCTGCACTAGCAGCGACATTGGCAAATGCTTTCGCTCTATGCATAGTCATATTTTTAATACCGTGATGTTGTTTAAAACAACGATGAAGCCACCTATTACTTGCTTTAAACTCTGTACTACCATTTAAATTTTTATGGAAAAACGTGCTTTTTTTTGTACAAGAGCTCCAGTGATGGGTGACCTTATTCCACGATACTATTGGAGCCATTTGTAAAAACTACGATCGACTAAGGATGTATCAGTACCTTAAAATTTTTTGTATCATAATTACCGTCGTAAGTTTTTAAGATCGAATCACGATTTAATAGTTATTAGTAGAATGCGGCCACTTTAGCGGACCCCTATAGATGTATTTTCATTTTATTTTAAGCATTTCTTTTTTATAAAGGTCTTATAATATTTATCTACAATTTCATCGTTTTCAGAATATTTTCTACTAAAGCAAGATAAAAAGGCATTAAGTGGATAATTAATAGACATATTATGCAAAAACATGATACAATATTGGCCGCACACTTGAGAATCTTCCTGTTGTAGATGTTTGACAGAGTGGCGGAAGTATCGACAGTTCTCTCGAAGTCTTCTAAGGTGTTCTGGAATAATTGATGGCAGTCCATATCTGTCGAAGTAGTAGCCAATGTCATCTCAATTATCTCAATAGGATATACGCCTATTGTATGAGCCGGGATGTACTGAAGAGCTTCTATAATTTGCAGCGTATTTATTACATGCTTTGCAGTTATTATCGGCGCAATTTAAATTTTGCTTGACTGTTAGAGTGACTGAAGATTTAAGGCACATTGATGAATTATTTTGTAGCCAAGTACAGTAATAATAAGCAGCTGACATTGAACAGTGGCCTGTAAACACGTACGGCAGAGCAAAGTGATATGAACAAACGATCTCTACAGTTGACGGGACAGTTAATGACGGTTTATCAAACATGTCGTCGATATTTATAATTTTTTTACACACAACCGTTTCTATTAGGTGTTTTTGCATGAAGCCTCGTGTATGAATCTGCTCAGCATTTTGTGTAATAGACCGTGAATTATTGTATACAGCTTTGATTGATAAAGAGCCCTCGTTACATGGAATACCATGTTGTGATGTCAATAAAATATTTGCTTGTTGTTTTGATTCCGATAATAATAAATAAGAAAATTCAGGAGCAATTATCCAATGGCCAATAATATTAGCTTCTAAAGAAATCAGGGCAATTTCTTTTGGTAGAAAATCAGCGTCATTATTTAAAAAGCCTTGTATATCAATTACAAACTTTATCTTGAGTAAAAATAATGCTTACTACTTGAAACGTGTTACACGACAGACGGTTAGCTCGGTACTGGGCTCTTTGTTGAACAACGTGTCAGTTGGAGCTAAGGCGTCATCAAAGCGTACTTCTAGACGTACACTGCTATATTTGATCAAATTCCAGTGTGTATTGCTATTTGCAGAAAGATCAGGTGTCAAATCAAAAGCAAATAAGCAGTAGCCATTTGGATAGTCCGTGCAATTAATGTCGTTTCCTTCATTGAGAAAATGTATGCCTGTTCTTGAGAATAACGTGTGATAACAATCAAGATACAGAGAATTCTTAGTAAAATCTGGCTGGAGCAGTTTGGAAGGGATCTGACGGCCGTCGACATATTTAGAATTCATTTGACCAGAAATAATACATCATACACAAAATAATAATAACATTTCGCATAAAATGTCCCATAGAGGCGTACAGAGAAACGCCTGTGCATGGGCCTGGTACAAAAATACCTAGAGTGAAAATAATCACTGTAAAACAAAAACTTTTCTTATAAACTAAGTTAATTAAAAAGTAACATCATGTCCATAAAATAGTATGTCGCACATATTTATGAAGTTTATGAATACAACAAGAAAAATATCTAATTAATACCAATTGGTACATTACACTCTGTTCAATCTGTACCATGCTGTTAGAGCTTTCTTTCTTACAAACTTATTTCCATTAATATTCTTTAGTTGCAAAGGTAGCATATTGAACAGTTTAATGGTAATCAGAAACGCTCGCTTACAACTTATACTTTTACTAGTCTTTGGCACAATAATAGACTTAGACCTAGATCTACTACTGGATTCCAGAAACATTTTTCTACAATCACAGTAGTAAAACTGCAGAGCCATAAGCTCAAACGCATTCTTAACACTCAATGGTTTGCACATACCAGGTTTAATAAATAATTTTATCAGTCTACTTTGTACTGACATCAGTGGACTGAGAGCATTATCATACGCACCACCTCAAGCAATAATTCCATATCTAAATATACTCTCTCCCAGAGCATGATAAACTAATTTAAGTTGACTAGCTGTTAATACTTGTTTAGGCTTGAAAAATACAAAAACTAGGTACCTGAGTTTTTTTATAATCTCACAGATGTGACGATGCCATTTCATATTGAAATCAAAATGAATACCTAAATATTTACAGAACCTAACTCGTTCAATCTTAGTATGATCAATATAAATCATCAATTCTGTTGGGACACTATCGCTATACGATCGAAAAGTAATAAAAGTAGTTTTACTAATATTCAGAGATAGTTGATTTAATTTTAGCCAATTACTAAGATCATTCAACCAGCATGATGCAATCTCAGTCACCTCATTCCATGTATTTCCCGAGCTCAAAACAATCGTATCGTCTGCATAAGAGACCAGATTTCCACTAGGAGTAGTATTAAATATATTATTAATATATATAATAAAAAGGAGTAGACCAAGAACAGTGCCTTGGGGCACTCCTATTTTGACATTCATTGATACACTCGAACAACCATTATACCTTACAAACTGAGATCTATCAGTTAAATAACTTCTAATTAATTCAAGAGGTAGTCCTCTGACCCCATATCTTTCAAGTTTAGACAGCAGTATATTATGGTTGACAGTGTCAAAAGCTTTGGCAAGATCTAGGAAGTTAGAATAGTTGGTCTCCCAACATCTACGTTTTTATAGATATATTCAGATGCAAAAGCTAGTGCATCGGATGTGCCTCTTTCCTTCATGAAACCAAATTGTTTATCCGAGATAACATGATTATCCCCAAGAAAATCGCTAAGCCTTATACATACAATCTTTTCAAATACTTTGGCAACATTTGAGATTAAAGAGATCGGTCTATAATTAGTCAGTTGATGTCTGTCACCAGATTTATATACAGGAATAATTTCAGCAGTTTTTAGTGCTTTAGGCCAACACCCTATACTTATACAGCTATTAAAAATATTTTCAAGTACAGTACTAATGTTTTTTGCTAGTAACTTTAATACTTTACAGCCAATACCATCAACTCCTCCAGACTTGACCTTAAGACCTGCTATTACTTTTTCAATTTCGAAGCTAGATGTTGGCTTAAGAAAAATAGAGCTGTTATTATGATTAACAAGTTTGGTGGGGCAGTCTTCATTTGGCATTACAATTTTATTAGCAAGGTTGATACCAATATTAGTAAAAAAATTAACAAAACTATTAGCAATACCTGAATTTTCAAAGATAATACCATTTTCAGTAAGAACATAGTCAATAGAACTGTCTTTACAATTATCCTTACCAATTTTACTATTGATACACTTCCAAAGCTTTTTACTATCATTACAGTTGATAATAACATTATTTTTATCAAATAAAACTTTAGCTAATTTAATGAGCTTACTCAAAACTTTACAATATCTCATATACTCCTTTTTTAGAGAAGAATTTAGCCTACTTTTATTCCATAGTCTATATAATGTTTCTTTAGTCTGACACGACTTGATCAAACCTGGTGTAATCCAGCTTTTCCTTGGCTTAGAAACCCGTATACTCCGTTCCCTCTTACATCTGAACTGATCTATAATATCAGCTAGGTTCTGAATTAGCACGTTTGTAGCACAATCTGGATCTTGCATATGCAGCACATCAGACCAATTAAATTTACGACTGATTTTTCCCATTAAATTATAATCAATAGGTATTTGATCATTATTGCTCTTGAAATCCTTATGCAGTTTTATCACCAAAAATAATGGAAAGTGATCAGTACAAATGTGAGTAAGTGTATAAGATTTAAAGTTTTTATGTGATGATTTTACAAAGAAATTATCAATACATGAGCTCTCACTATCATTAGGCCTGGTTTCTCCATTGAAATACTGAATATATACCGTATCCAGAAAGTTATTTATGAATTTATCAACTAGCACGTCAGATTTAATCAGGTTTATATTAAAATCACCAACAACTATATGGCTAGATGTTTGACAGTGTCCATTTAGGAAAAGCTTGAAAGTTGGTATGAAATCCTTGATATTAATATCATGGCAACGATAGACATCACTTATTTTGAAAGGTTTATTATTATTAACTTTCAAAGTTACAGTGAGAAATTTAATACTCCCAATAGTTTCAATTATAGCAGATTGCGTCAAGCAATCTTTGACATAAATAACAACTCCATCTGCCCTGTTTATTTGGCTATTATTATACAACATCTTATAGTTATCTAGTTTATAAAAATCAGGGCATTACAATACCCAAGTTTCTGTGCAAATTATTACATCAGGCTTGACATAAAGTCTATCAACAAAGAGTTCCAAGCGTTCAAAATTGGCATTTAAAGATCTGACATTGAGGTGGACAAGGATCAAGTCATCTTGGTCAAGATGTAGTTTCAAAGAATCAATCTTATCAACCTGTTCTTCAATCAGATACGTTGATGTGTCTTCAAACTCCATTGAGGTTATGTTTACTATTTATAGGATGAGCTACTTTTTTATGATTTATTCTCCCAATTTTATCTGGCAACATAGGTAAAACTGGATAATCAGTGGTGTTAATTATCTTATTTAACTTAAATTTAAGGTATTCACATTTACTAACATCTGTTGCATCATGATCAGCAGCTCTATTCTTATTGTAGCGAGCATTATAGAAGGTACAATTTACACATTGTTTAATCTCACTTTTGCAGCACCCAGTGTCATGGTCCTCAGAACAATACAGACATTTTGTATCATTAGAGCATTTTTTCTGGCTATGGTTTGTTCTGCCACATTTAAAACATAAATTAAGGTTGAATTCATCATATACAGTACAACATATAAGGACAGATAATTAATTTTATAATGATGAAAATTGAAAGGATTCAATTTTGAATCACCGTTAAAAGCTTTGTTATCAACAAAACCTATGATTATTTGGCGTGGTAATTGCCCCAAAATAATATTGTTAATAGTTTCACCATGAACACCACCATGTATAGAAACAGCCATAACTTCCACGCGTGTTAAAGGATATTTAGCGGTAGTTTTTGTAAGAACTCGAGCATGTGAAAGCCGAGTACTCGGGTATATTTTCACACGTCTCATTATCAAAGAGGCTTCAATTATTTCAACTTTGCATTCAACAGCTGAATCATTCATTAAACAAAATGAATCTCGAGATGTTGTTGAACGTAACCGGTTTCATTACCGTTTATTAAACAACGCTCTTGATTAAATACAGCAAAATATAGATGGCCAAGTAAATCAAAGGTTTTTCCATATGGTAAATATTGACACCGTTTTTCCAAGCATTCATTTTCACCTGTAAGACTATCCATTTTACCAAGTGTGTCTTGAGACCAGCCAACAGTACTGAGATGAGAATTTTTTGCATCGTGACCATAATTTAAAAGTGTTTTGATGTATGCCCTATAAGCATGTAAATTATTAAGCGCTGACACACATTTTTGATTGACATCAACTTGATTAAACATAGAATGCATAAAATTATTTATAGGGCCAGCATTTATATCTGGCATCGTTTTTGGATCAGCCTGTAAAGCCTTACGAGATGTAAGTTTGACTGTTAAATCTAACATAGTATGTGCAAGATCAATATATTCATCGTCTTGCCCTTGTACAACAAATTCAATAGGTGAATTATCTGTTAATGATGAAATCGGTTTATAAAATACCCATTGAGAGTCCTCAATTGTTGTTTGTGTAGGTGGAACAGAAAATAATTCTAGTTCTGTTTTTGCACACTCACAAGAATGAACAAGAAGAAAAGCCATTATGATTATTTAAATATATCTGCTATAGATCGTGATTTCTTACATGAGTGGTTCGTGGTCTTTTTTGTATTCTTCGTCTTATTTCTTTTAACCTTGAGGCCTTTACGCTTTTTCTTTTTTCCTTTACGGCCCTGTTTTTTTGCTTTTTTGACTTTTCTAACAGAGTGTTTTCTTCTCTTTTGAGAGCTGATGTTCTCTAAGCGACTGTCAAGGGACAACTGTTGATTTGGCGATGAACCTAGTGGTGTATAGCCCAATCCGCTCATCAAGCTATCAATTTTCAGAGGCTTTTCGTTTTAAATTTCGTCCAGACTCTCGTAAACGAGCTCGAGCAGATTCTTTGAATGATATGCCCTTATTAAGGACATCATCGGCAATATTCAAACCTGACTTCAATGCTTCTTTGCCTATAATTTTTGCACCACTTTTCAGAAAAGACAGTACAGTTCTAAATAAGCCTCCTAAAATACTGCCAATGCCATGACCGCGCTGATTGGGGGTACCAATGTAAATTTGACCAATACCACTGTATCCATCACGCCTAAACCCGTCTTCTGGAATATTATAGGCAATTTCTTGATACATGTTTATCTTAAATTTTTGAAATGTAAAGTTACAGTTAACGTGTCGTGTTCAAATGGTATAGCTTGGCCAAATTCATCTCTCATATCTATTTCTATTGTACGAATATCTGCCTTCGAAAGAGGGATGTAGCGCATCGTTGAAAACGCTTTTATTTCCATTGAACCATGTGTATAATTATGCATGTCCAGGGGCACAATGCGTAATAATGGCGTCTGTTCATCACCTGTTACATAATTCTCTCGAGTATCTGTGTAAACAAATAAGCTACACGGGATAGACGCATATATGTTGGCTGTCCGGGTGCTTTTTAGAACCAGCAATAACACAAGTTTATCTTCAGCTAAAAATCCAAGAGTCTGTTAGAGATATGGTAATAACTGAACTAGTTGAGCGCCGTTACAGCTGTCCTCACCAACTACTGTAGCTTCTATATAGCCGCCAAGGTTCATCTCCTATTTTATATGTTCACTGATAACAATGAGCTTATTCAATTCAACGATCAGATGATCGAGTATTTGATACACACCCGGGGGCAAGCGGGTTGCATGATTTTCAGCATTTTCTAAATTATAAACATCAGTAACGTTTACTTTGGAAAAATCTAAAAGATCAACATTATGTATGAGCGTGGATAAAACTGTAGCATGTTTCACAGGTAAATTCAGAAAATTCATTAGAATCCTTATTTCTTCCAGAGACACACCCCACTCGCCAGTTAATTTAAGAGATAGGGATAACTGCGTAATGAAGTGCGTTGTGGTGTTATCAGGACAATAAAGCATGCTACAACTCATACAAATTTACTTAAAACATCAATAACAATTAATAAATATTTAATGTTATCATTATAAGTAGCAATATTACCTAGATCAACTAAATCTGCTTCCCATACATCGTCAACATGTGAAACATTATATGTGCGCCTTGAAAAACGCCGCCTCGTTGGACAGAGTAACGTGTAAGCATCTTGATTTTCTAGCCATTTTTTCACATTATCCCTGTGTATGTTTTTTGTATAATTTAGCAATTGGTTTGCACCAGCAAAACCTGCCGGATGTTCAGGACTGTAATATTTCTTTTTAAGAACAGCCATCACTTAAACGAGAATTTTAACCATTTATCGTTACACTTTCGCTTTGAAACTCCTGAGCCTATTTGAGATTTACTGCTACAAGCACTCAAAAAATCAACAGCATCAGGCGGCTCTGACTCGCTTTGTGATTTCATTGATGAAGATCCTTCAGCTATCATATCTGGTGTGATGGGTCGTCGTCTTTGTAATACGCCTGTCGGCGTGGATGTTTCTACTTTTTTAGGATCAAATAACTCTTTATTTCCCATGTACTCCCGTGGCACATAGCCGTTATGAATAACATGTACGAACTGGTCTCTTCCTATAGCATATTTATTTTTTCTAGCTCTCATGGCGTCATTCAGAAGATCTTTAATATTAGATCCTGGTACAACTCGCCCCTTAATACTAACTGGAATTTCTTCGGCACACTATCAATAACAGATTGATCAATATTATGATTAGGCGATTTTTATATTGATTCCCCTGTTTCGTCACCAAATGTCGATGATTTTTCATTGTTCGTTATGAGTCAAATGCTGCCCTACAGCAGGTCGGCTTACGTTGTTGATCAACTGCAAGTACCTTTCCAGTACTTGTGAATAGGCATTCCACTTCTCTGTTCATTTTGATAAACTGTAGAACATAATATTTCATTCATTTCTTGATCAAGGCGCGTTAATACAGAATCATAACTTTGATCTTACTTGTTTGTTAATAATTTTGTAACGAGCAATTGAAAATTCTTCACAGTCTCTTCAGGTATTGAAACCATTTTTTTAGCATGCTCCATTTTTAGCCGTTGATCAACTTTGATATTAAGCTGCCCAGAATAGGTGCCAAAAGAATCGGTAAAAAACCACACCCTTTTTGTAAAATGACCTTTTTTCCCCTTAGCACTTCCACGCTAAGCTAAGAGCTGTAAGAGAGTGACGTGCCGTTTTAATTTACGTTTTTTGAGCTTGATATAACTTGCCCCTCAATACTAACAACACTTCAATACTAATACTTCGGGCCCTCTGGAAAAATACACGTGCGGAATCGACTATTTCCAGGTGTTGATTGTTTCAAGTCTAGCAATAAGTAACCATGTTGCTGAGGGGTTTTTAAAAATTACAATGTAGTTAGCATTCAAAGAAATGTCACGTTGTCCTTTTCCCTGATGGAATAAGTTTTGTGTTATAAATATAACACTCAAATTACGATGATGGCTACCCTTTGTGAAAAGATCAATAATTGTACTGCTTGATGATTCGCGCATAAGATCGTCAATAATAATCAATTTCGGCGTGCGATCAGCCGTATAATCGTTGCTAGTTGGTGATCCTTCTTTAAATTCAAGGAGAAGAAACAATGGATAATTATTATAATCTTTTTGCCATTCAGTATAATGAAATATTATTTTTGAGAAACGTGTATCACTTATGTGATGTATAATACGAAGAAATCTTCTTCCGAAAACAGTTTTACCACAACCTGTAGGACCACAAATAATTGAAGTCCAAGGATGTTTCCAGCGTGGATCCATAATTATAAATGTCCTCTAATAAAAAGTGACCACTATTTTCATGTTATACAAGTTTCAAGAGATATACAACATTACATGGCTGTCAGCATCTTTTTGTTGACGGTCGTCATAGGCCTTATCACCAGGCTTATATGATCTCTTAGGACGGGCTCTAAACAGCCTGAATTTTTCCTTGATGATAAATTAATATAAAGAAAGAGCATCAGTAGAGAATACGCTTTCATATAAAAAAATTTAATAATTTCTTGGCTGATTTAACGGTAAAAAATTACGGCAATGTGAGGCGTTCATTTATCGGGACTTGGAGTGTGATAATCTAACAAGGAAGGCCGTTTTTGTGATTATCATGAGAAAATACGGCGATTAATACCTGAGCAGGATCATTTCGTGCGCAACTTACCGTTTTTTACCTGGCATATTCGGGATGATAAAGACGTGGTCGATGTTAAAAGGGCTGCAACCGAGTGCGAGCTGGCCATGAGAAAGATATACG